GGAAACCTCTGTCCCCAAAAATAGGGCACTGAGAGAGGCCTGGGGCACTGAGACACACTGGCAGGGACAGGGACACACGGGGGGGAGGTCTTGGACATGCCAGAGGGGGACAAGGCTATGCCTGGAGGGAACCAGGACACACCATGAGGATCCAGGACATGCTGGGGTGATCTGGGACACAGTGGGGGGGACTGGGATGCTCTGGGGAAACACTGGGACACACTGGGGGAACACTGGGATTCCCTGGGGAAACTCTGGGACACACTGACGGGTAGACTGGGACACACTGAGGAAACACTGGGATGCAGCTGGGGGATCCAGGACATGCTGGGGAGATCTGGGACACACTGGGGGGGATTGGGACACAGGGAGGTCAAGCACAGGGTGGGTCACAGCACACACTGGGAGACACCAGGACACACTGGGGGGACTGGGACACACTGGAGACCCTCATCAGGGAAACAAACCGTGGGCAATCACCCCAAATTTCGGTAGCAGAATGGGGGGCTTCCTTTTCTAAGGCAGGGGCAGCCGGGGGGGGCTCTGGTGGGCAGTCCCCTGCCCCCGTCCGCTCCGTTTTGGGGGGCTGGGGGGCTCCTGGCAGCCCCCTTCCCTCCCTCTCTCTGAGTCCTCCCTCCCTTTCTCTCCCTTTCCTGTAACTTAAGCTTTTGTTGTGAGCAGGAGACCCGGGCTGCCGTGAAAAGAGGGGGCCCCACCGCCTTTCAGAGCGTAATTGAAACCATTGCGGCTCCTGGCCGAGGGGGAAGGGCAGGGGGGGCTCCAAAATCAAAGCCTGGGGGGAAAGGACGGGACACACGATGCTTGCGGCCCCCCCTCCCCGCCAGCCCTCCCGGGCCGGACGTGCCGGTGTCCCCGCGGGGCCGGCGGGGCTGTCCCCGCTGCCGGGAGCACGGAGGCTCCGGGGGTGCTGTGGGGAGAGGCGATGGGGTGGGAGCCGGGGCCGGGTGTACTCGATGGGGCAGCCGGCGGGGCTGCCTTTGGGCCCTGCCGTGTGCCCGGGTGCGGCTGGGGGCGGTGGGTGCCYGGTGGTCCCGGGCGGGAGGCGGCGGAGAGGGGCTGGCACGGTGCCGGCGGCRGGGGCCGAGCCCGGAGCGCAGCCAGCGCTGCCTCCGGCCCATTCCCGCTCCAGTCCCTGCTCCCGTTCCCTCTCCCATCCCCGCTGCCATTCCCTGCTTCCGTCCCCATTCCCATTCCCCGTTCCCATTCCTGTTCCCATTCCCTGCTCCTATTCTCATTCCCATTCCCATTCCTATTCTCATTCCCGCTCCTGCTGTCCCTGGCTGTTCCAGCCGCAGCTCCTCTGGGCCCTGGGGTGTCAGGATTTGCTCAGGTGACCTCTGCCGTGTCCCCTGCCGTGTCTCCCGGGCCCGCAGGGACAGGGATGGAGGGGTGCAGTGGTGTCTGCACAGCCACGTGGATCTTGGCTTCYGAAACACTGCGGATTTGGGCTGCTTTCAGGGTATGGGGGGGTTTCACTTCCAGAGGGGGTTGCAGGGGCTATCCCCGTGTTCCCTGTCCTCCTGGGTGCTGGTAGCTCAGGACAAGGGTCCCCAGAACGTCTAGGGACACACTGGGACATCGTTCTACCCAGAGTGGGGGCTGAGCCCTCCTGGGGAGGGCCAAACCCAGAGCAGATCCACCGGTCAGCCCCAAAAGGAACCCCTGGGTGGGCTGGTTGCCACCATCTCCTGCCATCCCAGGGAGGCAGCCAGTGGTGTCCTGCCTGCTCAGGGCTGTCCCCTCACAAGGACATTCAGGGTGGCCAGRGAATCCCACTGATCCCCCTTGTCCCTGTCCAGGCTCCCAGCCCCACCCCAGGCCTTGCCAGGGCCATGAAGGGTTGGCAGAGGGTGTTGCCCCGTCCCCAGAATCTTCCCTGGGGGGTCTGAGGTTGGTGTCTCGGGTGGAGGGGACCAGTCCTTGCACCCAGTGGGAGAGGACGGGTGGTGTCAGCAGGCCAGACTGGTCYGTACTGGGAGTATTGGACCAAACCCAGCTCTTCCCCCAGCTSCCTTTCGTGTCCTCCCAGAGCTGCTCAGGTTGGGGGACACCCAGCAGTCCCAATCCTCCCACTGCTGCACTGTAATTTCATCCCAGTACGGCACTGGGGGATGCTGGTGGGCACTCAGTGTTGCCCTCAGCACCCAGGGGTCCCCATGGGGTGCCACCACATCCCTGAGGTAGCTCCCGTGTCCCTGGTGAAGYAGGACGTGGTGCCCATGCAGCTGCTCTCCCTGGGGCTCCTCCAGCACCAGGAGGTGTCACGGTGCTTGTGGGGTCCTCCCTGCACCCATCCAGGTCAGGGGGGACACACTGGGAACCCCAGACCCTGCCCTTGGACCCTCTGCAGCACCCCWGGCCACAGGCTGGTGGCCTCTTTCTGAGCCTCCTCCCCGGGGACAGGTGCCCTGGGGGTGACACTGGGGGTGGCACAACGGCTGGCACGGTCCCATGCACAGCCCCACGAAGGGCTGGTGGCTATCCCCGCTCTGGAGGGCAGAACACTGAGGGGACACTGGCAGCAGCAGCTCACAGCGTGTGTCCCCGAGGGATGGCACGGAGGGTGGCAGAGCAGAGCGGGGAAYGGAAGGGCTGTGGCAGGACGGGGAGCCTGGGGGTCCCCCGGGGGYGCAGGGGAAGGGAAGGAAAGGAAAGGGCCCCCTGGCTCTGCCCTCGGCTTTGTTTCACACTTTGGAGGCTCTAATTAAAAGCAGGCACAAAGGGCCTGGCTGGTGGCAGGCGTGAGGTGCCAGCGCAGGGCAGGGGCTGTCACCAAGGGAACAGAGGGACACGGGCACTGCGGGGGCCCTGCACCCCTGGGTGGGAGCGGGCACACAGACACACGGACACAGGGACACAGGGACACACGGACACAGGGACACATGGACACACAGACACATGGACACATGGACACATGGACACAGGGACACACGGACACATGGACACAGACACATGGCCATATAGACACACGGACACATGGACACAGGGACACACGGACACACAGACACATGGACACATGTGCGCACACACAGACACACGGACGCACGGACATGCGGACACGTGTGTACATACGGATAGATGTGCGCACACACGGACACATGGACACAGACAAACATATACACAGACATGTGTGCACACACTCACAGACGTGTGCACAGACACACACGTGCACACACACATGTGCGCACACACACACAAACAAGTACATGCACATGCACACACACATGCACAGACGTGTGTACGCACACACGTGCACACAACCCAAACACATGTGCACAGACACATGTACATGCACACACAAAGACATGCAGACACACGTGTGCACACACATAGACACACACACACAGTGCATGCAGGAACGGTGAGCGTGGATGTGTGGGAGCAGGGCTGTGGGTTGGGGTGTGCTGGGGCTGGCAGTGTTCAGGGGTAGGTGACTCCTCTGCTGGCACATGTGTGTGTGCGTGTTTGTACGCCTGTGCCCAGCTTTGTTGCACACACGCTGCCCTGTGGGGTAGGGAGGGTAGGAACCAGTGCTCAGGCCTGGTTTGAATTGGACTGAACTGGTCTGATGGTCTGCGGTGATTGTGGGTGGGAGGGGTCTGTGAGCAGGGAGTTTTGGGGGCAGAGATGAGCCCTGGGTATGGCTGGGGTGAGCCAAGCCAGGGGCACTGGTAAAATAAGCCCTGGGGTGCCCCATTCCGGGGACAGCCTGGTCAGCAGTGGGTGGGCACAGCCTGAGCCACGGAGCACAGAGGGTCCCCGGACTGGGACCGGGGCACTGGTGGGTTACCCAGAGAGCGGCTGTCAGGAGCTGGGAGCTGAGCCCCCACCACAGCMCGGCTCTGACTGCCCGGATCCCTCGGGGCAATGAG